AACAGATAAATTATTACTTCATATTACACGAGAGAAATTAGGTGACAGAGAGGTGACTTATATTTAATATGTATATTGATTATGTAGAGGAGTGGCATACATTGGTGTTCACCATCACTCATTTCCCCTTTACATTCTCCCACTCGATTGATTATGTTTCCCATTATCATTTTGTGACTCTCATTTTATTTTAAAACAGAGACGGTATCAGTAGGACCTCCGCGCACACGTGCAGCACCCTGTGCCGGGGTAATGTTAGCTGAACACAAGGTCACAGTCATTCCCTAAGACCATTCATCACCCATTGTGAGCACTTCTGCATGCATCACTTTAGATGAGACATTGCAAATCCCCCAAAGGCCTGGGAAAGGGACGAGGCCTGTAGTTATGTAAGTATAACATGCACACACATGCACTTATGCATTACAGGTATTGGACTGTTTTTAAATCTTGCTGTAAAACGTGAGTGGCGCTGGTACACTGTAGTCAATCACGTTGGTCAATTTAAGGCTTTGGTGGCCGATTGGAACCGTGCTCAGTATACCAGCTGCATTTGGGGAAGAAGTCCCCCCATCCCTGAGGACACCTGGACACTGCCTGGCCATTCTCAGGGCAGCTCTGCCCCAGGAGGTGTGAGCAGTGCCCACTTCGGGGTGGAGGGGGGGAGTGAGGAGCCAGCAGAGGGTCCAGCGGCAGGAAGAGACAGCCAGGTGATGAAGCCTCAGTGTCTGCCTCCGGGTCCGCCTCCGGCGATGCCTCATGAGCCCCCAGAACATGAGTTCGTGCTCAGGGGCAGCTCAGGGCAGCCGGCTCGCGGCAGGGCTGTGGTTGCTGATAAACCACACCGAGCACCCTCCTCCAGAAGGTGAGAGGTAGGCCCCGATCCCCCCTTCACTCCCTCTTCCTGTGTCAGACCGCCCGCTCCTGCACCCCAGTCACGGGCCAGGATCTGAGGGCAGAGACACCCCAACATCCCTCCTGCGGCTGAGGGACCACACACACTCACCGCGTGCGTTTCCAGGAGCTCTGGGCCTGGTCCTCTCCCCCCTCCCCCCGTGGCTGTTCTGGGTTGTCCTCTAGCTCTTCTTCTTCCCAAACATGGGGTTTGTAAGGACCATAACGCCCAGGGGACACGAGAACGTGAGCCTTCAGTGCTGGGTGCTGATGGAGTGGACGATGTGGCTGTGAGAGGACCCGCTGTGGCTTCGCTCCTCTCTCTCTCCACTTGGAAATGTGCAGTTTAATAGAACCTCCCTGCCCTGGAACCACACAGGAGAGGGGACCTGGGGGAGATGCCCTGCAGGAGGCGAGCGGTTAACGGAAGCCGGGACTTAAGCCGCCATGCGGATGTGGGTAATTGCTCACAGAATTCCAGTCCTGGCAGCTCCACGGACATGGGGGTTTGGTGAAGACTACACGTGAGGGCTTGAACTCCGAGTAGCTGCCGGGGGAAATCTGAGAGTCCTCTGTGGAGAGCAGGGAAGCCTTGATACAAGACAGTGTTACCTGGTGGGTAGGTCCTAGGGAGATGATGGAGAAGCAGGTTGGGAGATGGTGGGGAGGCAGGTGGGGAGATGGTGGGGAAGCAGGTGGGGAGATGGTGGGGAAGCAGGTGGGGAGATGGTGGGG